CTTAACCTGACTCTAAGCTAACCTATGATTAAGTCAAACCCTAAAGTGACTCTGCCACTTAAAGCAGAACTCCTTCCAAAAATAGATTAAAATGAGTAACCCATTTAACAGAAAAATATAAAAACCAGGTTTTGCTGCAATGTTCAGCATTGCAATGTTCAACTTCAGTGCAGAGATTTCCCCCCATTACATTTTTCTACCACTATATGTCCTCATTCAAATGGTCAGCATCATTTCACCCACTTACCCTGAGTCCAGGTCATTCTGGACCCACCCCAGTCTGTGACTGGACAGTGAAAGGAGAAGCAGTAGACCGTCTGTCACTTTGCTCTCTCTTCCTATCAGCATGCTTATTGTCAACACATGGACTGATTGGCTCCTTGTACTGCAAGAGGCTGATATCCGATCAAATTCGGTACTTACATTGCTTGCATCAAAAACAAAAAGTTTAATAATGCATTATTAATGACAGAGCTGTATTACTTTGTGTCTTTTATATCTGCCTAGAATTCAGCCTTAACCTCCCTTTTAAAACCGAACTATAATAGTTACATTACACATCTTTATCCCTAACAATAATCCTTAACCCGATCTTTAAACTAATACCTTACACAAAGTAACCCCATTTTCCCCCTCTTATCCACCTCGCTCCTGTGTTGGCAGCCTTTGCACTGAATCCTTAAAATACCGGAGCAAAAACATATAACCCCAAACTCCCAGCTCTAAAAGCACCTGCTTTGCTACCACCTCACCAGTAGATCTCCTTCACACTAATCAGATTTAGAGCATGCACAGTATGTATGCATCTACTATGCCCCAAGCTCAAGGCTCCAGGGCAAAAAATGAATAAATGCACATTTTTTTATTGCAATATGATTACATTCATTCATTTTTTGCAATAAAGTTGAATATGTCTCTAATGCAAGGTATGGGCTCTTGTATGTGGGCAGATATGCATGTAGAGCATACCGATCGGACGTATAACCTGTACAAATCAATGATAGACTTGATAAAGCTGCAGCTATGTACAAAAATCCCATTGTTTACTTGTGTACCAGGACTTACACACTGCCCCGAACTCAGACCCTCTGCATTTGGGGAAGTGTAAGTCCAAGTACACATGTAACTATGGGATCTGTGTACATACCCGTACAGCTATGGCTTCAGCCAACCAGTCATTGATCTGTACAGTCTGGCTGCATGCAGATGTACAGCACAACTGTGACTCCCAGACAGAGTTATATGTCCGATCTGTACTCTGCATGGCGATATGCAGAGTACAGATCGGATCGGCGAAAGCCCTATTGGTGGTTTGAAACAATACAAGGAGGTTGATTTACTAAAGGAGTTGGGAATGTTAACTCATGAAAGAGCAGAATCACTTCAGTTATCTAATCATGTGCAGATGAAAGAAATAAACAGGGGTTTGCTTTTCACATGATTAGATCATTTAAAGTAGAATTCAATTCTCAATCTTTTTTTTTCAATAATGAATCCAGACCAAACAAATAAACATTGCCCAGCAAAGTGTTTCTTTACATTTTTGGCCAAACACTTACAGTCATCATGTTTCTAAACAGCTCTGATTCTCTCATCTCAGCTTCCCTGAACTTCCTGTCCAGAACAAGATAACAAAGGACAGCTCAGTCTCCAGCAGCCCTTCATTTACTGGCTTGGAGAAGGGAAGATGGAGGAGAAGGGAGCAGGGAGAAGGGAAGTGTCTTGCCTTGCGGTGCTTGTGTGTTTGTGGAGACAAACAGAGATTACTAGTACACACAAGGATGGCTCCATAGGACCCTATAAGGCAAAAGATCCACCCTAAAACAGGATATTTGGGCCAGTGCTCACGGGACCAGCTGATTCTGCAGGAAACTAACTTTTTATATATCAAGGAGCTGCAACCACTGTAAGTAATTTAACCCCTTCGTGACATGAAGTGCCCAAATGACTGACCATGTACACTGTATGTGATCAGTTATTGGAAGCTTTTAAAAGTCGTTAACCTCTGAGATCAGCGGTTACCGTTCATTAATGGATGCCTCAGTACTGAGGCATCCATTAATAAAGGAATTAAGCTTTTGTAAAAGCTGCATTCTTTCATCAATGAAAGAATGCAGCTTTTACAGATACTTGATCGCTGTCAGTGATCTAGTATCTGACAGAGACAACAGAGCTGTGTGAATGGTTCTGCTATATCACTGTTTTGACAGCTCTGCACACATCGGGATCTGTTTTGACAGCTCTGTACAGATCTGTGTACAATGATACAATGCTTCATTTTGCCACATATTTCTATGCTTTCTAGAAATCAGTAGCAAAATGAAACATTTGTATCATTGTAATAAAAACATTGCATCAGACTTCTGATTAAAGTGACATTAAACCCTCAGATTTTTTAACATAAACCAATACTGTAATGTGTGCCTTACTGTAATCCATGGTTGTTTCCCTTCTCTTTGCTGCTCTTCCTTTTAAATCTTCTCATGCTGGGGGAGAACTTCCCTTTTCAGCTCCGGGCCTCTTCCTGTAGTGCTGGCTCAGGTTGTGAACCTACACACAGACACCGTGTATCCATTCCTGAGACAAGGCAGTCTGCTGCATAACAGAAGTTCTGCAGAGCATGAGAAGAGATACAGATTTAAAAGGAAGAGCAGCAAAAAGAAGGGAAACGACCATGGATTACAGTAAGGCACACATTACAGTATTGGTTTATGTTAAAAAATCTGAGGGTTTAATGCCACTTTAAGTACATCAGAAGTCTTTAGTGACATCTGAATCTGAAATGCTGCAGGATCAGTGTCACTAAGGTTATTATTGGCTGCTCCTAAGTTTTAAGCAGCTTAATAATAACCAAAAAGTTTAAAAAACAATTAAATTATCAAGCAATAATAGTGGCTGTTCAATATACTAGACAAAAAAAGTGGGGTGAAAAAGCGTAAAGTATAAAACAAAAAGTGTAAAGAAATAAAAATAATTTAACAAAATAAAAATGATATATACAAATATATTGAAGCCTATAATTATTATACAAATTAACACCTTACAATGACACTTAGTAAGAAAGTATGTTACTGCCGTGGAAGAATCACACAGCAAAAATTTAAAAAGTGCTTCAGTCATTAAGGAACATAAACTGAAAAAAAACCTCAATCATGAAGGGGTTAAAGAAGAACTCCAGGCAATGGGGATACCCCCATACTGCAAGGGTTAACTGCTTATCTTGGTCTAGGGAGGAAAGTAAAGTTATACTCACCCAATCCTCTGAGCCGGCCGGCTCTAACAGCGCTCCTTCCTCCCTGTATCCTCCTCTGTTGCAGCGATGGTATGTCCCACAGCATCCTCACATTCTATACAGTGTGTAAAGAACATGATGACTCAGGGACATTAGACCACTGCAGCGGAGGGAGAGCAAGCCTGGAAGAACTGGTCTTAGAGCAAGCCACCTCCAAGGATCGGGTAAGTATAACTTTTTGTTTTCCTCTCTAGACCAAAACGAGCAGTAGGTAGCCCTACTGCAATGGTTAATACAAGTTTTGCCCGGAGTTCTGCTTTAATCAGAATTTGAAATAGTTTAAAAATATTTTTACTTTAAAGAACTCCGGGCACAAATTTTACTAACCCTTGCAGTGGGGCTACCGGCAATGTTAACTGCTGGCTTTAGCCTAGGGTAAAGGTAAAAAAAAAAGTTACACCCACCAGATCCTCAGAGCCAGCAGCGCTCCCTCCAGCCTGTCTTCTCCTCAACTGCAGCGATGGTATGTCCTTCAGTGTCCTCAAGCCCAATATACAGTGAATTGGGTGTGAGGACTCAGGGACCGTAGACCGCTGCAGCGGACAGGGAGAGAGGCTTCAGGAACCGGTCTAAGAGCCAGCCGACTTGGAGAATCTGGTGGGTATAACTTTTTTTTTTTTTTTAACCTTGGCAAAAGTAACATTAAAGGCAACATATCCCACCTCGTGTCCCATAGTGTCTGTCCAACCTGCGCGCTGGTTGCATCCATTGAGCTTCAGTGCCTGTTTTCTTCCCTCCCCTCTACTGCGCATGCTCCCGTACCCTTGTTCTTCACAGGCATTTGGGAGCCTGGAGGGCTTCAGTCAGGAGCGAGCGGCGCTGGAATAGGTAAGTAATTAGGTATATTGGAGCCGGGAGTGCTTCAGCCGGGAGCGAGCGGCGCTGGAATAGGTAAGTAATTAGGTATTTGCCTACTTTTTTTAATCATGGGGCATATATGCACTCTATACTAGCAGTAGATATATGCCAAAATATATGAGACTTTAATTGTGCTTTAACCCTTGCAGTGCGGGGAAAGCTCCCTACACAGGATAATGCAATGTGTGCACGGAGTTCTACTTTAGTCAGCATTGCCTAAAAATATATTTTTATACAGCTAACAGAAAAGCTATTAGAGAAAAAAAAAAAAGCGAATATAAAATAGCTTAAAAACATTTTGACTTTAATATCACTCTAAAGTGTATCTTCATTTTTTTAAGTGAATATTCTCAGCCTCTCAGCTATGATTGTGAAGAGTTACAGCAGTCAGAGCTCATCAGATACAGCATGACTGAGCAAATCCTCAGTTGAGATCTACACCACCTAGTGACCATAGGAGCTGGCACATCTACAGGGATGCTGAGGATGCCTAGTTTCTGCTGGGGACGGTGAGGAGGTTCTAGTAATAAGGGAGGAGCGACCAGCCTTAGGAGTTCTGTAGCAGTGAGAGTCAGTGGAGGAAACAAACTGGGACAAACTGCAGAGAACCCAGCAAATCTGGCCGGGGATGCTACCCCGGAGATCTCTCTACTGGATCTGCCTTTCTCAACCTCTCCCACCATCTCCTGGGTACCAGCACCTAGCACGCATTGTATCTGTGTAATCCGGTGCCAGCTGAGAATGTAGCATGTTCTCTGCACATGGGTACCTGGATTATGCCCCCCCTCGTCTCTGATCCCTTGCATGAACAGTGCTGCATACTGGATCTCCATCGTGGTCCTCGCATCTAGTCTTCCTACATCGCGATCGTTTTGTCATCGGGCAGTGGCGCACCATGGGGGGTAATCTCGGCTGTCATCGGTCCATTCCTAAGGACCCGTCAGATCTGTGCCAGAAAAACCGCAAGTTCAGCGCAGCTTGTAACTTCAGCAACATCTTGGTGAGCCAAGAGAGACTGAACATCAACACTGCCACCGAGGAGGAACTGATGACCCTGCCTGGGGTGACCAGACAGGTAGCCCAGAATATAGTGGAGTATAGAGAATATATCGGAGGCTTCAAGAAGGTGGAGGACCTGGCTCTGGTCAGTGGGGTTGGAGCTGCCAAACTGGAACAGGTAAAGTTTGAGATCTGTGTTAACAGTAAAAGTAGCTCAGCCCAACACTCGCCCAACTCTCTGAAAAAGGACGTGGACCATGGGTACCATAGCCAACACCTGTCTGCCACCAGGGTCAACATCAACACCGCCATTGCTTCCCAACTGAGGAACCTCCGAGGAGTGACCGAGGAGATGGCCCAGGACATTATCCTCTACCGCACTCAGCATGGTCCATTGAAGAGCATAGAGGACCTGCTCAAAGTGGACTCCATTAGCTCATCTTTTCTGGACAGGATAAGGCACCAGGTGTATGTCCAAAGATCTCGGCCACCATCCACCCATACCAATGGGGGCTTACACTTCATGGCCAAACCGCATCCAAGCCCAACCTCTCTAAGCCTACAGAGTGAGGACCTTGACTTTCCACCTGGAGGACCCACTCAGCTCATCTCTACCCGTCCTCCTGTAGAAGTATTTGGAGGTGTGAGGGAGGGCAAGCCAGTGCTCAGGCTGGCAACCTGGAACCTACACAACTGTAGCCTGGACAAAGCCAACAACCCTGGGGTCAGGGAGGTGGTGTGCATGACCATTTTAGAGAACTGGTAAGTTTTGTATGATGGTCTTGTTTGTTTTCTTTGACTTCCATGTTTAGTCAACAGTGTTTATTTATTTTGATACAGAATTCATTGCAGAGCAGTATTATCATTTGAGAAAGTATTGTTTCCATTTGTAAAAAAAAAAGCTGGGTCATTTAAAGCCCAACTCCTGTCCTGCAATGCCCTACAAGAGTTAAAAATAAAGTAGCTCTTGGCCTGACACTCCAGCGTTGTCCCCTGCAGGCTTGAGCTGGCCATACACTAAAATATATTTTTTGTTCAGTCTGCGGGCTGAACAAAAGAAATCTAACAGATTCCTCTATCCACGCTATACAGCTTTGATGGACTAATCTCCTGCTGTGGCTATTGTATTCTTACAGCCATTGTCCACTACTGTCAGAGTACATGAACAGTGACTGCATTTGATTGGCCTGGCTCCATCAACAAATGTATGTGGAGTTATTGATTTTGTAGAGTCGGCAGGGCCACCCACTGTTAGAAATACTTACAGTGTATGGCCAGTTCTTGTCTGGATTGAATGATGCCCAGCATCTTTTAATCCACTTCCAGTGCGTCCAGGGCGTCATGGATTTCATAAAGCTGCCCTGGGCTTACAAGAGAAATCTGCAGAGAACGTCACTGACACATTACATGGTGCCATTCTGTGCAGTATTCAGGCCCATCCACTGATGGAGCAATTAGAAGAGGACTTGTGATGTCAAGTAACTGGATAGAAGACCAGGAAAAAGGTATGTATACACATTTACAAAAAAAAAAGGTGTAGGAGAGGTGCCCAGCCTGAAATTTTAGACCTTTCATGAATAAATGAATAAATTCCTAATGTCTCACAATATACAACAGTATTATTATCTAACGACAGCTGTACTTTGTAGCATTAAAATGCATTCCTTGGACTCCGGTCCAGTGACTTTGCCTTGGATGAGATACTGTTACCAGTCTGTTGTAGCCAGGAAGAAACATTTCCTCCATCTTCTCTGCCCCAGTTATCAGAATGCAACATTGTATCTTTGAAGCAGGCTCTGTGCCAGACATATGTAAACTCAACCAAGAACTTCACAGTCACAAATATTTACCTGATTGTGTCATCTCTGAGCCAGCATCTTAGTCCAGGAAGTACATGCTGACCCTGAATAGTGCCAGAAACAAGTAACAAAGAGGGTGCTGTCATTCTGGAAAGAGAAAAATGGCTGGCCTCTGGGAGAAATAGCAGATACCTACAAGTGCTAGGGCTCTTGCACATAGGAGCCTGCACCCATCCAACGTAAATATCGGTATATTTTCCCAGCCAAGGAGCCACAGGTGCTGCTTCCAGAATTGTATGTCTGTGTGTGTGCACGGGTAATGGAAATACCAGTATATACCTGCCTACAGCCGTGTACAGCCATTGACTTATATGGGAGGCTAGGTCCACTTTAATTATGTCCAGTGCAGAATATATGGGGTACATAAACAATGTTTGCCATAAATCATATATAGGTTAATAAAATAGTATCAACTAATTCTGGCTGAATTCTAGCACATTATATGTTATAAATGTGACATGATACAAGGAGAATTGACAGCCTGGCTTATAGATCCTTCTGGCTTGTGCAAAATGTATCAATTTATGTATTTATGCTGAAGGAAAGTTTAAAAAAAATACAAAAATAAAATTGCATGCAAGTAGAACTAATATTTTGACTACAAGGACAGAAAACCTCTAATAGAGCCCGTGTGTAACTGCTACTCACTTCTGTTTATGAAATATAGGCTCACATTGAGCTACTGGGGTATGAAAGTGTGAGTTGAGTGTTGTCACTTGTTTCTCAAAGTGCAACAACACTCAACATGAAGAATCCCATTATTTTCAATGGTGGCTGTTCACACCTAAGCATTGTGTTGCCAGTCGCTTGTAGCTCGGAAAAGTACAAGGCCTTCTTTTCAGGCAGAATCGTGCGTTTACTCCCATAGACTTCAAAGGGAGTGTCTGAAAAACAAACACAGCATGATTTTGAGCCTTTTCCTCCTACTAACCAGCTTTTCATTGGCTAAAATAAATTGCTCAAGTCTGAAAATGGCTGAAAAGCATATGACAAAAAACTGTGAAAAACCCACTTCAAAAGCGCCTGAAAACACTCAATGTGAATGAGGGAAGAATGTCCTGTTACCAATAACAACCAAATCACCTTTAAAACAGAAGTAAAGTGGGGTATGCCAATAGAAAAAAAAAAGGTGTTTGGTCATTAGCATGTTAGGTTGACTTACCTTGCAATCAATACCCTCCAGCACTACGCTGTCCACCCTCCCCTCCATCATTGGTGCTGGCATCTTTATCTGGTCTTCTTCTAGGTCTGGGGTCTTTGGCCTGTTGATTGGCCAGGCTGGCATGATGTAACTCCTTTGCCTGCCAATGGAAAGTACTTCATCTTGGCATGCCCAGAAAAAAAAAAGGATGACAGGCAGGTGGGAACATTTTTGGCAGACTGGAGACTGCTACAGTGGGGGGAATTTATCAAAACTGGAGCAGACCGAATCTGGAGCAGTTGCCCATGGCAACCAATCAGCATCTCTCCAGTTTGTTCAGGTAAGATTTGAAAATGAGACAGAGAAGCTGATTGGTTGCAGTGCAAATCTGCTCCAGATTTTGTCTAACCCAGTTTTGATAAATTCCCAATCAGTGTGTTCTGTTATAAAAAACCTGCCTGTCAGAATTATTCTGTAAAGATGGTTTACTTCCACTTTAACTGTCAATACAATAGTTCAAGTTTGCAGATGAAACAAAGATTTTATTTTGTCTCCATAGTCACCAAGAAGTACAGACTAAAGCTGCATTTCTCTTTGCTTTGTCTGTTCTGCTGTCTGTTAAAGCAGAACTTCGGGCAGATCAAATCTTAACCCCCGCACTGCAAGGGTTAAGTGCTAGTTTTTGTCTAGGGAGCTAAAATAAAGCTATACTCACCTGAACCATGATCCGGGCTGGCTCTTAGACCGATCCGTTCAGCCTTTCTCCCCCTCTGCTCTGAGCAGTCCAAGGTCTCCACCCCAGCAATACACTGTATAGCTGGAGTGGAGGAGGAGAGAGGCTGCAGGGAGCAATGCAAGAGCCAGTCGGGATTGTGGTTCGGGTGAGTATAACTGATATTTTAGCTCCCTAGACAAAATGAGCTCTTAATCCTTGCAGTACAGGGATAGTCCCACTGCAAGGGTTAATATTTGATTTGCTGGGAGTTCTGCTTTAATTTGTTTTTATTAAACTCAAGAATAGGAGGGACATTCAGCAGTTTTCTTTGACAGACCTGTTCAGATTTCTACACCTGAACTCTGCGACATGAAGCCCCCATTCACAGTTATTTGAAGTGTGTTTCCAAAAGCGCTTCAACACTTGACTCTCAGATTTCTATGTTATTTTATTGTGCCCATTCACATCTGAGTGATGTGCTGTCACTTAATGCTCAAAAAAGTACAGGAGCTTCTTTGGGGCATGTTTTTGGCCTCAGTAGACTTCAGTTAGCGCCTGAAAAATGTACAGAAGGCATGTTTCTCACACGATTTTGCATCCAACAGCCATCTCCCCCTCCTAGTAACTAGCTTTCCATTATACATAGTTACATAGTATTTGAGGTTGAATAAAGACACAGGTCCATCAAGTGCAACCTATTGTGTGTATGTACAAGTCATTTTGAATTGAGAAAGCTGGTCGGATGTCCAGTGAAACATCTTCAAGAAAAATACAGCAAGTCCAGTTGCCTTGACTTATTTTTTACAGATATACCATGACCTGGATGCATGAGAACCTTCACAGACATAGCTTTCCATAACAGCTCCAGTCTAAAAATACACAAAAATGCAGATACAAAGCCCCCCCAAAAATATGCACAAAAAAAATGACGCCGATGCTCAAGTGGTAAAGGAGACCTCTGCATAGTGCCTATGTTTCCTAAGAAGACCACAGGTCACACAAGTTGTACCATTCCCTTTAACTCTTCCAACAGTATTGTAAGGGCCTGCCTGATTGGATACAACAGTAGTGTATTTTTCAGGGAAGCCCTCACATAGTTTTAGTAAATCTATCGCAGATGACACAATCTGATTGTATGATTTATGGCTAGCCTGAGATTTATGCTGGTAAAAGTGCAGTTCCATTTTATCCTCCATTACTTTTTATATTTAAAGTTCCAAAGTAAGCTAGTGAATGCAATGTATTCTGGGCTGGTTCATTATTTGCATTATGGCATTGACTTTGTCATTTATTACCTTAGTGAATGAACAACTTGACATTTCATTTTGCCGTGGGGATTTCAGGTTAGGAATATATTGTTCTGTCACCAAAACAGTAACTGCAGTCTTTTAGAGGAAGCAGGTAAATTATTGGTCTCTCAACTTGTCAATATTACTGTACTTTCCTGTAGCTAAGTAATGACCATAATAAACAGATGGAGACAAAACACCGGCATTTTCCTTTTCTTTTGTATTTTAATCTTATCAGTGTAAAGCTGCCCACACACCTTACAATTATCTGCAGATTATTTGTGGTCAGATGGAAAAGGTGCAACAGATTCCTCCATCTACACTTAACTGTGTGTATGGAGTAATCTCCACCTGGGCCAATCTGTTGCACTTTTTCCATCTGACCACAAATAATCTGCAGATAAATTGTAAGGTGTGTGGGCACCTTAATGCAGATCATTTTCAAGTCTTTGATAAAACATCTGACAAAATGGAGGTTTCAGTGTTATAACCTGTGCATGCCATTGCATAATCCATTGCGTGCTAAGATTAATTATGCTTACAAATAGTAGGGTGTACAAATAGACTTGTACGATAGCAGAAGCCCTCTTTCCAATATCTGGCTATACCTGAATACCTGCAGAGAATATGAACTTTCAACTATTTTTTTTTCTTTACAAGAATTCTAGTTTTTGGCACTTTTCCTATTTGTAAGTCTGCTCTTCCTAGTTTATTTGCTTTAGCAGGTTGTCAAGGCCTTCTGTCTTGTTTTGTTTTGC